CGTTTCCTTTTTTGTAGAATTTTTGCGAATTTTTTCTCGCCCGTCATTGTGCCAATTGTAAGGCCTTTTTTGATTTCCTAACTTGCATTTGTACGCGTTTTTTAATGTGGTTAGTTCAATTCTATCAGACGGGCCGGTTGGGAAGTCGCTTGAAACAGGGGTACAACTCTTTTACCGGTTTACTGGGTCAAACTGTCATTCCTCCTCGCCTGCTAGTGGTCACTGGTTGATGGTATAATTTCCACTTTCTGTTGAATCAGCGGTTTTGCATCAGGTGTGCATGTGGTCACTGGAGAATGTTGGAGAAATGGCAGCATCTAAGGGGACTAAATATCAAAACGGCACGTGGCTAATTGGTTTGGGAGAATGGGAGAGAAAATCTCATTTGAATTATCCGGCGACACGTATTTTAGACCAAAAGCAGGTGGATGGCAAAACCACTTTTTTAATTTTTTTTTTGCTTACTCCATATCTCAAATATACATTCATGTGCATTGTAGGCACTGAGAATATAGTACTATTTGTCGATATATCAAAACAATTAGATAATATTTTTTCAAATTTTGTTTCACGGGTATGACTGTGCGCTCTATTACAAACGATCGATCAATAATGAACCTACTGCTTTGCTTTACTGTACTTAAGAAGGCGGGTATAAAGTGATAAGAAAAACCGTGACCTTTTAACACTACTTATTGACTAACACCGTGTGACTTAATGACTTAACACTCGTGGTGTTTAATTTCGACACCAAGATGGAATTTGTATATAAAAATACCACCTTTCGAGAAGAATTAATGAAAGATAACCATGCGCAAATGACTACACCATCGTGTATTCAGCTACTTTCATCAGATGCCACTGGTATTTTTCTTCATTTCTTCGGAAAGTAGAGTGGTTTTCATAGTAAATAAGATTTCTTGTTTGAGTGTCTTCTCGTGCGCAACCTTAAAACTAAGAAATGGTGCTCTAGCAAATGACACGAGGTTTGAAATGGGAAAAAAATTACGTCCAAGCTAAAAGAGTCTATTCTTTCTACATTAACAGCCATTTCCTACTTCCGGACTAGAATTTTCTTTACACCTTATGCATCGTTATCATTGGACGGTTCTCTGTCTCAACSTTATCGAGTTCRCGAAGTCTYCTTCTAGTCAGACAGGGCATAMGATAGCTTTCCTGWCTTTCCTCAGCTTCCTCCGTCGTCTGGTGTAAGGTTATCAATGCCGTCTCCGGTAACCATAGTGATGATATCCCACAAACGATTGCGCATGCTCCAAATATAGCCATCGGGAGATAGATGCCGGAGCCTGGTAACTGGGCCTGTGGAAATAGAGTACTCAGTATAGTAATACAATAACGAGTTATTAGTTTGAAAGCAAAGCAAGCTGCAGAAGAAAAACAACATTACACATTTGATATAAATTACAGTTTTTTCTTTGTTTTGTTTTGTTGTCGTTGTTTGTTTTTTTAAATTCATTCTCAACCCCCCCCCCCCCCCCCCCCCCAATGTCAATGATTTACTTACAAGCATCAAAAGAAATGGAGCAGCTATGCCACCAACACGAGCAGCAGTAGAACCAGTTCCCTGAGCCGTATTCCTACAAAAGAGAGCCAAGAGAAAACGGCTAACTAGCTGTTACGTATTGCWAGTAAAGTGCTGGAGTATGCGTGGAATGACGTTGTCTAAGTGATTGTGGCTGCTGTATATCTGCACCGTACAGCTTATGGTTCATATGATTAAAACCAATTYGAATTATTATATCTTTGTAGAAAGACTTCAAGACTTCTTCATGACTTAATAAGTTTCAATATTTGACGATGAAAAAATGCTCATGAATAAATGCCCAGACTGCCAGACGCCGACTATGATTAAATGCTGGGCAGTTTTTAATTTTAAATTAATTGTAATGAAAGTTTAATAAAACTTGCAAAAAAAGTTAAGTAATAAGTTTCATTGAACATTGAGAAGGGCTTACTGAATTGTGTGATTTTCATTATGCTTAAGAAAGCCTTTGACGTGCAGACTTGACCGCRAAACGCTCATTATATGAGGAAGCTTGCTTGCTTAGATACTAACAGCCTAAAGTGGTTCAACTCAAGTGATAGGAATCAGCAATGTCATCCACATAAATGTTGATCATCTATCAAATAAGCGAACAGTGACCTGTGGAGTCCCTCTGAGGTCCTTACTTGGTCCTTTGCGCTTCCTTAGCTTAATTTTACAAACTATCGATTATCCAAATTGTTTAAAGAAGGATTTCCTAGAATGTATGCTGATGATACCAGTATACGTTTTGCATGCGGACGAAGCGGCAATTAGTTAACAATCGTTCACATCGGCCAAAAGGACTTTTCAGTGTCAAATAATATATAAACTATTGTGTCCCGGTTGCTTTTGGCCGATGTGTACGAGCACTAAGCAAGCCAAACCGTGTTTAAATATAGATTACCTAGCCTAACCTAACGTATTGCTGCCTCAGACCCAATTTAGGAGTAGGGGCCGGAGTCCAAATAGTCAAGCGTTACCTTAGAACTGTAGGGAAGAGCTCGGTAGTTATAAGGAACACACTACTCCATTCCAGGCTAGTCAATACATAACCCAGGATTGCTAGCCACGTGATCGCCACCTCATACTCTAGAAAACGAGACAAGTAAAATAAAATACACCCGTCGATGCTATTCCAATGCAGAATGAATAGTCTCTCAAATAGCAATACTTGTGTTTTGAGTCATTGATTGCAATTTATCTTCCAATCACAGATTTATTGACACGTGATACATATCAACTTGTGTAGAGTTTCGTGACATTCTTGGACTGCAGGAGCATAAAGCGAAAGAACGAAAAATATTCCCCACTCCCTAGCCTACATAGCGGATCTTGGTAGGGACCATGAGGACGAGGGAAAGGGGGGGGGGGGGAGATTGGGGAGGAGGGAGGAACAACAAACAATGATTCTATTGTTTCAGCCGGTTTTCCGGTCCACCTGTAATCAATGAATATATTTGCTAGTCAAAACTGTACAATCATCAAGCGTAAAAACACGCGAATTAAAAAATGCACGTGAAAGCAGAGCCCAGGAAAAATAGATCCAAATAATAATGTCGAAGGAAAATATTAGCTTGTCTTTTAACGAATTGCCTGTAAAACCGAACAGAGGAAGAAAACGTTTTAAAAAGAGTATATTATTCTGCCTTATTCATTGTCATTAATGAGATATGGATGCGCACTCCGACCGGAAACGAATCCAGCACGAAGTGCTAAGGATGTGCGAGGATCGACATCAACCCGGCTTAAACAGGGTGGGTGGGTGCCACACATAGTTCGGCTATCTTGTTCAACCATGCCAGAGCACGCGTCCTTTACTTAAATATCAATTCCCAACCAATAAGCAACCTCTTCCAATCCCCCAGGGACCGGAAAGTACGTCGGAATGCTATTAGTGATTATAATTGCGGCAGAATATTAATACCTAAGACTTTACATAGCGTTTACCAATGCCTAATTACATGGGCTTCATCCACAGCCACATTAACTTTTACATTTTTATGGCTTTAAACCTTTGTCGAACTGCGACCAACCAATCAGAAACTATTTCTCGGGATATGGAAAGTTGGCTCTGATTGGCTGGTTTAGACAATAGCTCGTACATAATGGGAATTAATTAGCAGCTCTGTTCCGCAGACTCTTAGTATTTGGCGAGATCACCGAGCATGAAATACATTGAATCTGCCAAGCAGGCTACAACAAACTCTACTCACATACAATTCATGCGCAATAACGCTTCATTTGTCAACATGGCTTACTTCCCTGTGATTTGGTATGTTTCAGTGATAGAAAACAGTCAAAGCACAAAAAGAAAACGAAAAAAATAATTTGAATGTTAAAATAAATATTCATATGAAAAATCATATATTGTAGCATAATAGCTCATGAAGCACATATGAAATAAACAGGTTGTTTTCTGGTCTACTTTGGGGAAACTGGAGCTATTAAGAACATAAAATGTTAGTACAAAAGCTAGACCACAAAGCAAAACACTAAATACATTATTCAGAAAAAGCCTGGTATGTAGGAAAATATTTTTTTACCCTGAGGAATGACGAGAATGAGAAGCAGCAAAGCTCCAGTTAACGTCATGTAACAAGCATGCACCATTCGACGCCCGATGCTATAAATAGAATACAAAAATATATATTTATTAAACATTTAGGGTCGATATCTGTGAAATAAAGTAGTGAATAAAAAGCATATCAGTGAAATGATACCATATCACTTCACGATAAAACTTTCCAATAAGACCTTGCGAAATATTTTAGTTTTGACTAATTAAAATCGCCCTCAATGTATAATAAACTAATAACCACATGTTAAGAGCTCGAGGACTCGCTCGTTTGCGATACGAATAATACGAAAAACTTGCCGGCAATAAAAACGAACATGTGATAATCTCTATATGTTACATTTGATAATAGCGGAGCACCACATTTATGAAGAATTGGTAACCCAGCGAGTTGACTTTTCGTGGCTTGATTACGTCACTTCGTAAGAACGTACGAACGTCCAAGTACAAACCACAGGGCTCTCGGTTGATTCAAAGCAAAACTACTTACAAATGCACAGAAAACATCGCTAAGGCCAAGAAGAAGAAGAACAAATTGTTTATGTTGTCAATGATGGATATAAGGTCACAAACAAGACGCGTGCGAAGTAAATGATTCATTTTTCTTAGAGAGTTTTTTAATTGCTTTTTGCTTAATTATTCATCGATTACAAAGAAAAGGTGACAAATCGATCATAACTAAGTATATGCCAAGAAACATGACGGCCAGTGATCACGTGATCAGAAGGGTGACGTACCTGTTCATAAGATACCACGTGACAGGAGCTCCAACAACAACCATACTCGACCTTATTGTCATTATCGTGTAGATATTCCCAGGAAGGTGGGTCACGTATATCACGATTGCGAAATATGTCATGGAAACAGTGAACCTAAAAAATATATAATATTAACAAATTAGTAGCAATGCTAGTGTTCCCTTTCGCGACCAAACACAAAAGGCACTGGGTGGAATAATTGATTGTGTTTCATCTTATCATTCTCGTCAAGAAAATAACTTTGATATTATATATATGTATAATATTCAGTGCTGCATACGATGATCATAATTAGTAGAAGGGGATCCCTCTGGCAGTGATGAACCCATTTTAATAGACTCCTTTATTATTCCTGTTTAGCTGTTTAGATATATGCCCACAATCTCATATTACCTACGGCTCCAGCATTCTTGTCATTTTTTTCATTCTTATGTAAATTATTATTAAATAAAACATTTTCCACTTTTACCATCCAAACCAAATTATCAGTGACCATTTTCTCAATTTTGGAGTTTTCAGAAGGTCCAGAGGAGTGTGCCTCTTATGATCATCCTTTTCTCTTCGAACCTGGTCCTTTCTGATGTCTTCCACCATCGACATCATTACCGCAGAATCTACATTCTTATCGCCTTTGCTTCCAAACTTCATTATCAATTGATGAGCCTTTTCTAGCTTTCCCTGAACCAACAACCATCGCGGAGACTCGGGAAACACTCTGGCAAAGAATCATAATACAATCCTGACATTCGAAGTATAGTCGGAGCAAAACAATTTAGACAACCAAAGGTACTTTCGGACCTATACTACTGCGCATACATTTCGCGCATCTCGTTTTTTAAAGTTTATTAGCGTTGTTTTGAAAATTTCTCAAAACATTTCTTGCTTTTACTACATTAATTTCCATAATCTGACAAAAGATTTTGTAATTTCATGCAAATTAATTTTGAGGTAAAATTGGGCGTTTTTCGATTTTTCAGTATTGCCTGACCTAGTCGGTTTTGTTCCAAAATTGTAAAAATATACGACTCTGTAAAAATGAATGAACAAAAAATTATTTTGACCTCCCTAGTTCCAAAATCAATTCAAAATAGGTTTTAGGGTCTCTGGAGATTACAAAGACAATTTCACAAGTTTTAAGAGAATGTATAAGGTACTAGGTCCGCGCTGACAGGAATGGTGATTTTGGATGAAAAATTCAGATTTTTTGTCGCTTATAGCTCGTCTATTAGTACGGTGACCCCCTTATTTTCATCTTTGAAATCCTTTACTTTCCACACAAAGCCTATATTTATGACCTACGTATATTTGGAACAAAATGAGAATAATTGGAATTACCCCCTATTACGATCTCTCACAACTCGAGAACCAAGTCGGTGACCCACTTTTCTCCCACTTTTTTGAATAAGCACCTGAAGATCTACGACTACAGATTTTATATTACATTTTAAGTAATAGTTTGCTTCTCTGGTCAACACAAGCTAAGCAATGCGCGCTTATGCCGAAAATCAAAGTTTTCCGCTCTTTTCCTGTGGGTAGACCCAGGTACAGCGGGAGTCAACGTTTCCCACTCTTTTCAGTTGGGTAGCCTACGTTGACCGGAAGCCAAGATTTTCCGTTCTTTTTATGCGATTACACGCACACGCTAGCTTTTATCGACAGTTACTTACTTCCAAAATAGGTACATGATAAATGGAGGCATACTTGTTATCCATACATAGGTCCTCCATTCTCGAACAAAGTAAGCTATTAGAACAGCAGTCAAGGTTCCTAAACTCCAGAAAATGTTGTTTACGTTGCCAGCCACTGCTCGGTACCCTGGACCAATAAACTCCAACATAAGAATGTATTGAGACAAGGTCGTGCTGATCATAAAGGCTCCACTTCCAAAACGTAAGAATCCAAATAAAGATTCACAGTCGACGAAGGACTGAAATACTCCACAAACAGCCTAAAACAAATAGAAAGAAAACTTTAGCTATGAGTAAATAAACGGGTCAATTTTGTTGTAAAATCATAGAAAAGAGAAAAAGAACGAGGGAAACTTCTTCGTCCTGGTCGACGATAACTCTTTCTCTTCCTGCACCTCGCCCAAGTTATGGTTCACAATGTGCAGACGATAACTGCTATTCTTTCCAGCACCTACATGCATACCATTAACCTACCATGAGTCCAAAGGTACTGAATATAACTGTTCTTCTTCCATAGGCGTCAGACAAGATTCCAGACACAAACGAACCAACCAGCATCCCAACGAAGAACATGGACTGGATGATGGCCGTTATATGTGCACGATCACAAATCAGGTTCCACTGCAGAACAATGAGAAACTACAACTGAGGATATATGTTCGTCATAATTTCGAACCATTGTATCGAGTGATTTAGATTTCCAGCTTAACAAAAATAAAGTCGCCTGTATTGTTCTCGAACTACAAGGATCCGCGCTTGGTATCACTGGCCAAGCTTCACCGTTTTTTTCTTATAATTCTCGCCCACCTAAGTCAGAAATATGAAACAGCTATTATTCAGCAATGATTATAATGGGATCGATCCTGACCGAGTAGTTTTTAGATCGATCGCGGGATAAAAATTAGTATCCTCTGTATTCGACATTAGTTTTGGTCCCAGAACCTCACTGGCCCTTTCCACTCCTTATTAATGGAGAGGGCTCTCTGCACTCCTTATTAATGGAGAGGGCTCTCT